TTGGCAATTCCATTTTTTTTCTGCTTTACTTTACTCTTCAGCGACTGCAAATTTTTTTTTTTCGAAGATTTTTGCTACTGATTGTCAATTTATTCCAATACTTGTTCAGTTCAGCAACTTATCATCGCTGTCATCGTCATTATCATCATCGACAGCAACAGCAACAACAACAGTAATAATAGAATAAAAAAATAAAAGAAAAAAAAAGAAATTTTTATTCAATTTGTTGAAGTATTACAGATATAAACTACTTTACCAAACTGTTTATTTTAGCCAAAAAACGGTGCAAAAAATAACAGTTGAATTTTTCTTTCTTTTCTTTTTGAAAAAAAAGGCGAAGAGCTTAAGAACAACAAAAGGAAAACATAGAGCGAGAAACATGACACTGACAAGAACTAAACTGCTTAGATGTGTAAAACCGAATTTTTCATCCTGTGTTCAAAGGATTTTCAACTTAAAAACAGTAGAAGAAAGCGAAGAACGGTGATGACGAGAGAAAGGTGGTGCGAATCAGTTAAGGTTTTCTGGTCATCCTGCTCTAAATTAATCAGTTTTAATTGAAAACTCTTAACAACTGTATCAACAGATTGCCGGTTACAAACAGAAAATTCACAAATTTATAAAGATTTTTATTCCAAATAAACACAGAAGAAAAATTACGAACACATACACACACATACAAATGCCGCACTACTGATGAGGAAGGGCAAAAGATGCCGACGACAATGATATCGGCAACAATGGCTTTACAATTCCAAAGTAGTTTGTTGAGGTTATACCGCAAAGTCAAAACAAATCAACTTTAATCGATTGTGACCAACACCACTCATTGTTACCGTCATCGGTGTCAACTGAACGGCATTCTATCCAAAGTTTATTCGAATCAACACTGACACGTCGTAGCCAAAACGAAGCACCTTAATATTTCTGTTTGAAACTGTTTTATTTCCTTTCATTTTCTCCTCTACACTTGTTATCCCAACATTCAGTTCCTCTAATAAAAACATGAACAAAGAACGAAGAATGATCAAAGTTGCTAAGATCGAAACACAGATCATGGGAAGTGACAGGAACAGTGGTTATCAAATGTCGTTCTCATCGTCAACGTCATCGTCATAAAAAAAAATTGAGTTTTTTCTTCTCTTCTTTTTTTTAGACAGAGGAGATAGAAGGCTAATTAAGAAGAAATATTGAAGAGGAAGTTTAATAAATTTTATAAAAGCTACCAGATAAATTTTGCCTGCATTTCTTTTGCTTGGTAGACCTCTCGAAAATAGAAAAAAAAAAAACGAAACTTTATCCACGAAAAACAAACGATGAAAAACGAAAGAAATAACAAATATTTGATCTGATTACAATTAATTTGAAAAAAAATTTTTTTTTGCTGTCTTTTTTGATTCTTCTGAATTGAGTGAACAGAAGGAGGACAAAAAAAAAAGCCAGATGATTAAAGAACTGGAAGTGTACAATAGGTGTTCTTTTCTTTGGGCATTTCGTAGGAAACGGATTTGTCTAAAAAAGAATTTAAAGAATAAATAAACAAACAAATAACAACAGAAAAAGAACTAATGGAAAGAAAAATTATGACGAAACAGAAAATCAAAAAAAAAAAAAAAAAAAAAAAAAAAAAAAA